ATTTATGTTCACACTTATTGCATTCGAAATCTTAAAAAACGTTGTGTACAGTTTTTCGATGTTTAATGAAATTGCATCGATACCCAAATTTTTTCTCGCACTGGTCGCATACATAATCTTTGCGACCTACATGGACTGCCCTTTGGTGGAGAAGCAAATGCAATTTTTGTCCAAATTTCTTTTCGCACTTCTTACATTCGTAATCTTTGCGATCCTCGTGGATTCTCTCTTGGTGGCGAAGCAAAGTCTGTTTGATTCCAAATTTTTTCTCGCATTTGTCGCAGGCGTATTCTTTGCGGCCTTCGTGTACTGTTTTTTGGTGTAAGAGCAAATGCGATTTTCGTCCAAATTTTTTCTCGCACTGATCACATGGAAAATTTTTTCGACCATCGTGCACTATCGTTTGGTGTCTGATCAAATCCGATTTGTGTCCATATTTTTTTTCGCACTTGTCGCATTCGAAATCTTTTTGACCTTGGTGCACCGTATTTTGGTGGGAGAGCAAATTCACTTTTTGTCCAAATGTCTTCTCGCACTTGTCACATTCGAAATCTTTTTGACCTTCGTGCACCGTCTTTTTGTGTTTGAGCAAATTATTTTTTTGTCCAAATTTCTTTTCGCACTTGTCACATTCGAAATCTTTTCGACCTTCGTGCACAGTCTTTCGGTGTATGTTCAAATCCCATTTTCTCCCAAATTTCTTATCGCACATGTTGCATGCGAAGTCTTTGCGACCATCATGTATTGTTTCTTGGTGGGCAACCAAACTACATTTGTGACCAAATTTCTTCTCACACTTGTCGCATGCGTAATCTTTGCAATTTTCGTGGACTGTTTTTTGGTGAGTCCGCAAATTCGATATTTGTCCAAACTTCTTCTCGCACGTGTCGCATGTAAAATCTCTGTGACCTTCGTGCACTGCCCTTTGGTGTCTGATAAAATCTTTTTTTAGTCCGAATTTCTTCTCGCACATGTTGCATGCGTAGTCTTTGCGGCCTTCGTGCACTGCCTTTTGGTGCATATGCAAATGAACTTTTTGTCCAAATTTTTTCTCGCATTTGTAACATACGTAATCTTTTCGATTCTCGTGGACTGTTGTTATGTGCATGAGCAAATGCGCCTTTTTCCCAAATTTCTTACCGCAATTGTCACAGAAGTAATTTTTAACGACTTTGAAGGCGAATTCTTCGCAACCTTTATGTACTCTCTTCAGGTGTAAGAGCAAATGTGATTTTTTTCTAAATTTCTCCTCGCACTTGTCGCATGCAAAATCTTTGCGTCCTTCGTGGACTGTCTTCACATGTATGAGCAAACTCCATTTATTTCCAAATCTTTTAGCGCACTTTTCACACAAGTAATCTTTGAAAATTTCGTGGAATATTTTTTTATGTTTGAGTAAAGTTGATTTATTTTCAAATTTTCTCTCGCACTTGTTACATGAGAAATCTTTACGATCTATGTGTACTAATTTTTGGTGCATAATCAAACTCGATTTTTTCCCAAATTTTTTCTCACACTGGTCGCAGGCAAAATCTTCGTGACTTTTGTGTATTGATATGTGGTGTCTGCTCAAGAGACTTCGGAACTCAAATTTCTTCTCGCACTTGTGGCATGAGTAAACTTTTTTTTCATTGTGAATGGTGCCTCGGTGTTTTATCATACTTGATTCCAGTATAAATCCACTTGAATTAATTTTTGAGACATTTTCCTCGGATTTCTTCTCACCTGCATCCATTTCAATGCAAAAATCAAATGATTGATTCTTCTATTTAGTACAACAGAAATTTTATCAGTAAAATTTATGTTTTGGTATTCAGGCTTGTTTGATCGGGAAAGACAACATTCAAACTAATTTATTTTCAATATCAGTGTGTCGACGGATGATGTCAAATTTGTATGTGGTCATATTGTTTACAATTCGTTCGAGGCTGTCGTTTCGTCTTCGAGTAATTGTTAACTTTCTAAAACCAAGTTTTCCACAAAAACTCCCTTATAACAAAATCGAGTTCACAAAAAAACAGAGTAAATAGATACTTTTTCACATGTATATTTTCATTCCAAAATTTACCAATCAATTCAATATGCTTTTCGAATCAAACTCATTTTAATTCGTGAATCAATTTGATTTTTGAATTAAATTTATTCCAGTTTTTTCTGCGAGCAGTTAATGCTTCAGGTAGAAATCTTTTGAGCTCCTTACGCTCCCACTGAATCCCGGAGAAACCAAAGGACCTGGAGAAACCCACTACTTGAACCTCTTCGATCTTTAGTTTAGTTTTTATTTTGTACAATTTTAAAATAATCTAAGTTCACAAATCAAATGGATTTGTAATTTGTAGATTTTTTAAATTAAGTTTTTTACAACCACGGTACCTTTCTTGAGATACTGTAGCTTTTATTATGTATAATGATAAATTTCATACCTCTGATTAGTAATTTTGATTTAAAATTATACTGGGTTCGAATCGATACTGAGTAACGGATCTGTTTAGTTTAATATTTTTGCAATTTCTTAACTCAAAAAGAAATTTCTTCAAGAAAAATTGCAAAAAAAACAAGAAAGTCTTATAATTAGTCGAAGCTAATGTCTGAATTTTTTCAAAATTTTGTAAAGCATCAAATGTGAAGTTTTTCTTATTAATGTCAGAGATTTCTATAAAGAGAAATAAAGTAAAATTAATTTAAAATTGTAAAATTTTAATGTAGAGCTAACATTCTTACCGTAACTTAACATTTGATAGGAGAAACAAACATTGGATAGATGATGTAACATTTTCGAGGTAAAATAATATTTAGGTGAAAGCTAGCGCCATAAAAATTTTCGGAAATTTAAATTCATTGAGGACCGTTCGTGATTTTTTTTTTATTCTGTATCGGATTCATAATTTTTTGGAAAAATTCTAAAAAACTGGCGAGAATGAGTGAGCGAGGTAAAGAGCTCAGGTTATTCATAATATCACTTTGAGTACGGTCTATTAATTCGATTGCATATGTTGGAACCCTAGGTGTTTCATGTCATATATAAATGTATCAGTGTTATAAATAATTAGCTGCGAAAAAAAGATATAAAAAAAAATTTAGATCGAAAGTTCCACTCATTAATGATAATTAAGTGATGGAAAGATCATCTAATACATGTTGATAGCAAAGATTGAGCTTATCATTGAAACTTATACACAAACTTACAAAACATTTACTGACTGTCAATGATAAATTTATTTAATAACTAACCATTAATATCGTCCTGTATTTTTCATGGAGAGGTTCTCAGAAGATACGGCAAGAAAATTGTTTTTATGCCCCGTCGTAATACAACTGTATGTACAGGTTTGTACGTGGATAACTATTTTCAAGCATCTCGAGCTTTCGTTACGAAAATTATTTAATTCAACTTTTTTCCACGACGATAATTTACTGATGTCACTCCAATTAGTATTTTATAGAGTAGGCGTTGTTGAGTAAGAGCTTTATCGATTAATGTTTTAACTATTATTTATCAATGATGTGAACGAAATCGAGAGTTTATATTTTAGCTGCGTTCTCGACCTCACAAATTTGAAATATGAATTCGTCTCTAAAATAATAAATCGATACAGATCGTGAAGTCGGTTGATATAAATTTCTGAATGCATATTTAATTTCAGTCATTCGATTACGAGAATCGCCAAGAACTTATAAAAAGGAAATGCATCAACGATTGTTTGCGAATCTTCTGACAAAATAATTCTCTGCGAATTTCGGCTTGCCACTGCGAGTCTCGATTCTGCTCTGCGCAAGATATCCGTCCATCTACAGCTGTTCCGCTACCGAAGCGAGCTTCGCATCCATCAGCAGCAGCATCAGCGTCAGCGGCTCTGCAGCCCGCAAAAGCTGCAGCGAGCGAAACTATTTCGATAAAAAAAAAAAAGGAAGAAAAAGCGATACAATGTAAGAGATTTTTAGAATATTTCCCAAGAAGTACGTGCCGTACAGCGCACGCGAGGAAGTAGCGAGACTTCAAGTTACGAGTCTCCGTCGATGGTTCGTTTGCTTGCCAATGAGGCGTAACGCCTGTGTGTGAGTGTCGTAGCGTACATACATGGTATGCGATTCTCAAAAATGGATTTAGCCCCCTCCGTCCTTTTAAACTCTTCACCGACGAGCTTGTTTAAATAGGCGTAAAAACGACGAGAGTAGTCTTCTTTGCTCTTCTCTTTTTAATTTTGTTTATTTACGAGACGATTTTGCGAAAGAAAAGAAACAGCTGCTCTCGAGATGAGTTCCTCGAGCGAGACGTGTACTACTAAAACGTATACAATGACGTTCGACTCCGAACGGTATTTAAAAACCCTTTCTCTGCCTTCACATACACACGTCTGTCCTCTCTGTTTGCAGTGTACTTGATGCCGATAGCCGAGTAGAAGAGAGCAAGTAAAAGATATTCCAGGTTCTTCTTGGCGTGCAATACTTAAAATTATCTATTTTAATCAACTTCGATCTCAATTCAAGTTTTAACATGTTATGTAAAAAAATCAAGTATCGTAATAATTAATAAAAATGTGATTCTGGTAGAGTTCATTACACTAGCTTTATTGCAAATTATAAATTGTTTATTAAAATTAGATTAATCATTACATATTTTACAATAAAAATTAATAAGTGAATATTAAAAAAAAGAAGTTAAACAAGCTAAGGCGTTAAAGCAGAGTGATTGTAATTAAAAAAATTTGATCGTGATTTTACCAAAAAAAACTGAGTGGTACGGCCAACCGAAGGTATTAAGCTCGAGACTTAGTGTACAGTTGGTAAAGCCAAGCTCTGGGACGCAATGCGACTGCATCAGTTCAATTGCTAAATGCATATTTAACGATTTCAAAGTATCTTTAATAAAACATGCAAACGCAAATGAATTTAAAAAAAGGAATAAAAATTGACAAATAGGTTAATCGATATGAACGAGTAATAATAAAAATTAGTTGTAAAAACTGTTGTGGATATCATAAATAATGAATAATACAACATTTTTTTAACGGATTTTAATTATATATAATTTACTGGACAATTATAAAAACTAAAAAAATCTGAATCGTCGGGATAAACTTATTACAATAGCATTTTAAAAGAGAAGCAAAGAAACAAAGTTTAGGAATGCTCTTTCTAAAAAGAAACTATCTTAATACAAAAAGCCCTTCAAAATTTCGCTCATCTGCTTCTCGGAATCACACTCAAAAAGATAACAGAAAACAGATAGAGAAAAAATGAAAGATATTATTTAGGCGAGTTAAAAAGCGGATTCTTATTATTATAAATTTTGTTCTTTCTTCTCTTTTTGAGTACGTGATATAATTAATTATCGTCAATCTTAGTTCTCGTCGACCTCCTGTTCGGCCTCTTCGTCGAACTCGGCGTCTTCGTCGGCGGTAGCCTCTTGGTACTGTTGGTATTCTGATACCAAGTCGTTCATGTTCGACTCGGCTTCGGTGAACTCCATCTCGTCCATACCCTCGCCAGTGTACCAATGCAAGAAAGCTTTTCTTCTGAACATAGCAGTGAACTGCTCTGAGATACGCTTGAACAGCTCCTGGATGGCGGTGCTGTTTCCAATGAAGGTGGCGGACATCTTGAGACCACGAGGTGGGATGTCGCACACGGCGGTCTTGACGTTGTTGGGGATCCATTCGACGAAGTACGAGCTGTTCTTGTTCTGGATGTTGAGCATCTGCTCGTCGACCTCCTTCATGGACATGCGACCACGGAAGATGGCGGCGACTGTGAGGTAACGTCCGTGTCGTGGATCGCAAGCGGCCATCATGTTCTTGGCGTCGAACATCTGTTGAGTCAGTTCCGGTACGGACAGAGCTCTGTACTGTTGGCTGCCTCTGGAGGTCAGAGGAGCGAATCCAGGCATGAAGAAGTGAAGACGTGGGAACGGCACCATGTTGACAGCGAGTTTTCTCAAGTCGGCGTTCAATTGACCAGGGAACCTTTAAAAATGAATAAAAACAAGTTAAAATGTGTCGTACTTTTTATGATGCAACAACATTCAAGTAAATGTAAACGAGAACAAACCTGAGACAAGTAGTAACACCAGACATGGTGAGAGAGACGAGATGATTGAGATCACCATATGTGGGCGTCGACAGTTTGAGAGTTCTGAAGCAGATGTCATAGAGAGCTTCGTTGTCAATGCAGTAGGTTTCGTCGGTATTCTCGACCAACTGATGTACGGAGAGGGTGGCGTTGTAGGGCTCGACAACGGTGTCCGAGACCTTGGGCGATGGTACGACCGAGTAGGTGTTCATGATTCTGTCGGGGTATTCCTCGCGGATTTTGGAGATGAGCAGGGTGCCCATACCGGATCCGGTGCCACCACCGAGCGAGTGGGTCAGCTGGAAGCCCTGGAGGCAGTCGCAGCTCTCGGCTTCTTTGCGCACGACGTCGAGGACCGAGTCGACGAGCTCGGCGCCCTCGGTGTAGTGGCCCTTGGCCCAATTGTTGCCGGCGCCCGACTGTCCGAAGACGAAGTTGTCGGGTCTGAAGATCTGGCCGAAGGGCCCCGAGCGCACCGAGTCCATGGTGCCGGGCTCCAAATCGACGAGGATGGCGCGGGGCACGTATTTGCCGCCCGAAGCCTCATTGTAATAGACATTGATTCTTTCAAGTTGGAGGTCACTGTCTCCGTGGTATGCACCAGTTGGGTCGATACCGTGCTCGTCACTGATGATCTCCCAGAACTGTAAAACGAAAGCGCAAACATTAGCTCCGCGTTGTCAACTCAACTTTACAATAATGTAATGAATGTAGGTCCGCGACAAGTGAGAGTACATGAATATTTGGAGAGAAGAGAGAAAGTAAAGCGCGACGCAGAGTAAAAAGTCGCGTCACAAGTAAAGCTCGCGCGCGAACCTAATCCCACGCTCCTGTTCGAGATATTTCAATCGTACCTACATTTCATTTTCTCGACACGGTATATTTTATACATTACGAGTTTGTTTCGATACGCCTATTGCACATGAGAAATTGCTCAGTGTGCGTATACGTGAAACGCGAGTTTTCGTACATAGAGGCGCGATTTTTTCTTCGTCGGGCTCGAGATCAGAGTGAGAGAGAGTATAAAATATCCATTTCTTTGGAACGGTCTTGCATCGATAGAGATATATCTCGGTCGTCGTCGTCGTCGTCGTCGTCGCGCGCGCGACTTGTGCGGTCAACGAGACAGAGAAACACGCGTTACTCGTACTCACAGGTAAAAAACGCCAAGGTCGGCGCGCATGACGCGATTTTACAAGCGTTTTTGTGTCATTATCTCTTCCTCATCTTTGAATAAAAGTAGGCCTCGCGCTCTCTATACAATGTACATTCTTTACGAGAGCTATACACGAGCAAACTACTTTAGTGAGCGTGTGTGTGTGTTTCACTGCAGTCGAGCGTGATGCAAGTTACAAAGGATAATATCGCGACAATTTGGGCGAGCTCGAATCGAAGCTCTCTCGAGCTCGATACGGACGAAAACTTATTCTGGAGCCGAGCCAGACAAGTGTAAAAATCTCTCAAAGAGTTCATTGCGCCTCGCTCGTGTGTCGGAACATTACGCGTATAGTGTAGTTGTATGTGTTACAATATATATGTACGGGACTCCGAGATACGCGCGACTAAATATACAATAGGATACGATATAAACAGAACGTTATATAGAGGCCAGCGTAATGTTTCGCGGCCGGTCGCTCGGCAGAGGTTCGCCCGTAATTTATTTTTTTTCTCTCTCTCTCTCTCTCTTCGACTTCTTCCTTCCATCCTCTTTTTCATTCCCCGCGAGCATTAAAAGTATAACGCGCGCACGCGTACGCCGGAGAGTCATCGATGGCAGCAGCGGATGTCCATATAAGTGCATGGCACCTCTCAACTGCACCGCGCCGTGTATTTTATTTTATGTATACGTATATGTATGTAAGAGACGAGGTCTCGCTCACTCTCTCGTTTGCCTCTCCCACACATTTTGCACGTGCAGACCTCTCTGCGACTGCGGCGGCGACTGTGTGGCAGCAGTACCTACATATCTCTCTCGTTTTATACGTTATGCGCAACGTTACGCGAGCAGCAGCAGCAGCAGCATAAAACAGGGTGTGCGTGAGTCACCCATCATATAATGTGCGTCGCGACGACGACGACGACGAGCGACACAAGACGAGGACTATATATAGCGTTATGCTGATTTGACCATATTACACTCTTGGCCTGGTGTGGGACTGCATAATAAATTATACATGTATACGAGAAGCGGAGGAGACACCCGTCGTCTCGGCGTCTTGTTTGTTCGAGCGTATATGGACAATTTTTCTCTCTCTCTCTCTCTTTTTTTAGGTGCGCTCAGGGAGAGTCACTTTTGCGGCAGCAGCATCGACTCTCTCGCTTATATGGCTCTCGAGCGGAGTTACTTGTATGTATTTTGCGATTGTAAAATGAAGGATGCGAGCGGAGCAAAGCGAGTAACGGTGAATCTCGTACGCCCGACTTTCCTTGCGCCGTGGTCTGCGCACTCCGACTTTGCAAATTGTGATCGATTCATTTCGAGAGATAGACGCTTTCAAATTCAACGCGTTCGATATATCATAGAATAGAGAGATTAAAGTAAAGCTGAGAGAGTTTCAGCTGCTAACGGTGTTTCGAGCGATACACGAGTCCGAAGGAGTAACGAGAATCACAGCTATATCATTACAACGATTATGATAAAAGTGTTTCTTTTTTATGCCTATAAAAAGGAAATGTGCTCGCGCTTCCGAGTGACTCGACGCAACTTTTTCGGGACAGGTGAAGAGGAAACGAATCAAAAAATTCGCTCTTTCCGGCTCTCTCGAACGCGCGCGTGTGTGTGTATTGTCGGTGGCAACGCGCGATTTCAATTTATAATTCTTTTATGGACGTTATTTTATATACGTGTATTACTCGTATGATTCATTTTTAGAGACGGTGAGTCATTGCGGGCGCGATATCATACTTTTTGAGAGCACCGCCGCCGACGCGCTCGCTGTACGTGTACTAATCATGCTAATTTTTGCATTTACGTAATTGAGCGAGTAATTGCGTTGTTGTGTTTGTATGTGTGTGCAGGTAATTCGACGAAGTTAAAAAAGACTTTGTACACGAGAGACCAGTCGTTGCTAAATTCAATTTCGCGTAATTAGTATTGAGAAAGAAAGCGCGCGCGACAGCGAAATCGTATAACGTACTCCTGTGTCCCGTCGCACACACACACACAATGGTTGATTAGCAGAAAGCTTTTGATACAAGTGTATAAAAGTGTACGTGTGTACATAGAAAGACACGCGTCTAGAGGAGAGTCGAGACGGAATGAAATTCGTTGTATTAAAGCTTTATATACACGGCAGAGTGAAGCTCGGGAATTCGCTGAGAGAGCGCAACAGCTGCGAGGCAGTAGCAGCTTTTTCCCTTTGCCACGACCAAACCCACACGTCGTCGCATTACGGTGCGATGGGCCAACAACGGTCTTTTCTCTTGCCCGTCTTTCTCCTTGACTATTTCTCGGCAGCAGCAGCAGGCGCGCTGCACGAAAAAGTCTGCTGGATGTGCAGCACAGAGAAAGAGAGAGACTCCGGGCTGTATGTATGCGTGTATGTGTACGCGTGTGTGAATATATATACAAGCGCGTACTTTACGAGTAACTCGTACTAAAACCTGCTCGTCATTATTATAAATACCAGCCAACCTGCTTCGCCTCTAAGATTATCTTTCGAGACACTCCTCTCTCTCTCTCTCTCTCTCTCTCTCTCTCTCTCTCTCTCTCTCTCTCTCTCGCTCGCCTATTTTATTCTCATTCCATGTACCTGGGAGGCTCGCTCGCAGCTAGCAGCTCCTATATAAACGCGCATTCCGAAGCTTCTCGAATTATCACATTAGTCGCAATTGTTGCACGAATATATAATATATGTATGTTCGCATTGTACGAGAAGAGAACACGAGGGCGACCGTACGTAGCGAAGTGTATCTCATTAATTTGTCACGCGAGTCGTTATTATTGTAATTATTATTTTTTTTCTTCTTTTCGTACAGCCATGGGAAGTATCGCGAGTGCGAATCATCGAGTCCAAGGGGAAACGCGACCGCGACTCGAGAGAGAGAGAGAAAATAAAATAAAAAGGAAGAACGTAGTTTTGGACATATATATCATTATGCGTGAGCGAGCACTCGTTATCCAATGGTCTTGTATTTATATATAAAGTACCCGAGAGACGCGATGCACATACGCAGCGCGACAAGCAGCCGTCCTTGAGCCAAAAAGCCCAAGTTACACATGCACAGCACAGAAGTACGCGATCATTGCGCAATTGCTATATGGATCGAGATCTCGAGATGGATTTTCAACCGTCCCTCCCTCGCGATTATAATGCGACGCCGAGCTTCTGCTGCTGTTTAAAGAGTCATTGGCCTCGCGAGTAATACTTCGGGATGCTTGAGAGAGCTCGAAAATATCTATACACACACACGCGCGCGCCGAGAGCTTCCGCGTCTCGCGCCACCACCGCTAGTAGCAGCGGTATAAATGTGCAGAAAAATCCGCGGCGCTGGTATTTAGGTGTTGTATTTTAATGAAAAAAAAAAAAAAAAAAACGAGGCGAGCGTTGGAGCGCGGCGTACATGCCACGTAAATCAAAATCATCGTTAGCATCTTATTATTATTTTATTACGGAGAAGAAGAAGAAAAAAATTGAACTCCGCGGAGAGCGAATTACTATTTTAACGCGGCGAGTGTTTCTTGGAGCACGGAAGAGATCGGCGCGAGATAAGCTTCTTTCGAGCTTTTTTTTTCATCGCCGTAAAACTTTTAGCTCAGTTAACGAGGCAGAAGGAGCAGAAGCAACGCCGCCGCTGCATCTTTCCTGTGCACGAGAGAGAGAGAAAACCCTTGGCTACTTTATACCGTACATACCGCGAGAGCACAGCGACGATGATCGATCGCTATAAAGGAGCAAAGCCGCGCGCGCGCACATACACACGGAAAAAAGTAATAATAATAAAGAGCCTGAGAGAGGCCTCGGTCTCGTGTATATGGTGCTTCGCTCGTGCGCTCGGCCGCCACTGCTGCTGCTGCAGCTAGCTATGTGTGTGTATGTGTGTGCAGCTAAAAGTGCAGAGGAAGGTAAGCGCGGACATTGACTCGATGCGATATCCTTGAAAATCGCGAGAGCGTGACGACGACGACGACGTGCTGGTGCTGCTGCGGCGAGTGAAGCTCGCCACACCGATGATGAGAGAATTTAACATGGTGCTGCTATGGCTGATGCAGTCCATAGGTAATCGACTTGTATTCGGTTTAAAGAGACGCCGATAATTCGATGAAATAAAGTCAGACGGAATATTCGACTTGCTTTGAAATAATCTCATAGTTTTTTTTTTTGCTCCAAAATGTGTGTACAATTTCAAGACTAAACAGGCACTCGAATAGCGTGTTTTTATTTCTAGCGTAGGGGCAACACTAGCCAAAACAGCACTACCAAACTATTGACGCGCGCACAGTCGTCGGCTGATTGGAAAGAGAGAGAGAAAAAAAAACATTATCATCTCCAAATCGGTCTGCTGCGCGTACTAAAAATATGCGTCGCTGCTCTGCTCCGCTCGAGCTTACATTGACAAGAGTGCGTGTGTACAGATAGCAACGGGCTATGTCTGGTACGGGGTCTTGTCGTTAGGTAAATCATAACATCGCGGTAAAGAGCCGCCTAGAGTGTCTCGGAGTGTGTGTATATAATCGTCATGAAGTAAAGACGTTTTTTAAAGGTTCTATTTTCGATTCACGTATATAGGAAAAAATGACAGCCGGTCGCGCGTGTAGTATAGCATCGATGTATGTACAAACACACTTATAATACACACACACAGTGACACCAACGACGCGAGTACACGTCAGCTGTTTAACGTAATAATAATAGTGCGTTGTGTATAGGTAAAAAGAGAATTCAATCGTCGTGACTTTTATAGATAGTACAGCAGCAGTGTACTTGCACAGGTGTGAATTATCGCGAGAAAAAGGCCGTGTCAAGGCTCTCTCGCTCGTGGTTCGGCATTTTTTTTTTATTCGCTTTACTTTTAGACGGCATAGAACAAGCTAGTGTCACGGCGACCACGACGATGTGTGACAGGGGGCGACATTGCACACGACAGCCGTGGCAGTGGCAGAAGACACTTTCGAGCGTGCTTGTGTGTGTGTATGCGTTTTACATGTGTGGAGCGTCGTCGTATACGAAAGATACTTGGAAGCGCTCCGAAAATGCCGGTCGTTCTTTCGTCGGCAAAAAGGAAGCGACGCGCGCGCGTGTGTGTGTGTGTGCAGTCGTCGAGTTTCTATAAGTATCCGGAGACAGGCGTGCCTGGGCAAGTTAGCATACATACGACACAAGGCAGATGGGGAGAGAGAAAACAAAAAAAAAAAAAACACGCGAGCCGGCGACGATTCACCGTCGAGTGTATCGAGGCACGAGCAGCAAGGTCGAGGGGAAAAAAATCTCGTCTGCTAAATTTACGCATTGTGTATGCATAGAAGAGAACTCGGTGAATGATGTGCCTGCGGGCCGGAAAAGTGCAGAGATAGCGCGCGACTGACCCTCTCGGAGGAGCAGACAAAAAAACGTAGACTTAGGAAAATTCTTAAGCGAGCCTTTTCGGAGGTCGCGCGCGCGGTTGCCGTGAAGACGATCACCGTATACGGCATGTAACGACGGGTCGTCGTTGTCGTCGTCGTCCGATACACACATACGCAAACATACTTGTAAATACATTTATGTATATACGCGCAGCAGACATACATACAGCCGCGCGAGGAAGGCGTATTAGGGGAAGTGCGCGCGCAGACGCTCAATGATTCTGCCGCATTCGATATATAGTGTAAATGCCGACACACAGCAAGATGTTTTGTACGTGTGCGTGTGTTTGTAATGTATAAAAATGCACACGGAGACGCACGCTGAATCCACTGAACATATCTCGATAACATAACTATATAAGCGCATGAGCGCGTTTGTGTATGTGTGCGTCCCGATGCCCATATATATACTCATAAATCCTTGTGTATAATATGCGAAGCGACAAGCGAGTATAACGACCCACGCGATACAGAGAGAGAGAGAGAGAAAACACGTTCGAGCCTGAGAGAGTCAGGAGAGAGAAAGATCCGCTTCTCCGGCGCGCCACACCCAGAGAGAGGAAAGAGCACTGTGAAACATTCGCAATATGAGGCGCGCACATACACACACACACACAAACACATGTGTAAACGCATAGAGAGAGCCGGCGTCAGAGAGCTTATACTCGTACGTATATGTATGCGAGAGCGTAAGTGTGTGAATTGTTCGACCTCTCCGCCGCCACTCTCTTCGAGCATTGTACAGTACATAAATGTGTGTGTGTGTACGTATGTGTGTGCAGTACACACCAGACATCGCACAGAAAAAGCTATGGCCGGCTGCTAGGCGCGTTCCAGAATCGAGAGAATATTTATCCGTACACGATTCGAGCCAAAAAGGTTTCGTATACGCTACATAAAAAATATTTGAAACGATAGTCGTCGAGAGCGAGAAATCACGCGAGACTACGCTTCGTATACACGCTCGACTAAAATCGATCGAGAATCGCGTTACAATTAAATTTGGGGCGCGCGCATACCGTCGCGTATCAACGCTGAAAAAAATTCGGTGCTTACACGGCACGTTGTTATTCTACCTGCGAGTTTTCGACTCCGAAATTCATTAGGCGCGGTGTGACGTTAGCGGGAGCGCGCCTCGCATCTTGTGTTATTGTTGTGCATGTCATACCCAAGCATACGACACACACAGAGACACAGGAGAAGAAATAGGCGCTCGTGTGCTTTCTTTCTCTCCGTTGCGCCGGGCGAGAAGTATCGAATAATTGAATCGTGAAAAATACATACGACGACGCGCCTATGCGGATTCTGCTACTTTTGCGAAGTATATGGCAAAAGTATACCAGCAGCAGCCAACAGCAGCATCCGAGAGCCTCGCGAAGAAGAAGCAGAAAAAGGGAGAGGGAGAGAGAGAGAATCGAGGCTTGGCATTCAGCGAAAAACCGTTGAGAGCTTCGCAAGACAGAGAGAAAAGAGAATGAACGAGACAGAGAAAGAGAATTTTGCCGGCCGGCGTTTCTCGTTCTCGTTGCGCGTCGTGTGTGTGTGTGTGTCTTCGTCGTCGTTGCTTCCGAAAGCGTCGATGTCGAGCGCGATACGAAAAAAAAATCATTGCCGCCACGAGAACGAGAGCACAGGGTAATTCCGTTGACGAATTTCATTTTTTGTTCAATACGCGACGATGATACGATATATTTTACGCGCCAAGTAATGTATTTATGACGTAAAAAAAAAAAAAAGAAAGAATAAAACTTGGTCTCGTAACACGCATACACATTTTGGAGCTGCTGCTGCTGCTGCTTCGCCACTTTTACCCTCCCCTCTCGATCGAATAGCACGGCAGCAGCTGCAATAGCAACGGTTTTTCGTTTCACCTTTGTGCCTTCGGCTCTCTGGCTCGCTCGAAGCATCGAGAAAGAAGGGGAAGAGAGAGAGAGAGAGAGCGCGAGGGTAGTTTCGAACAAACTTTTATGGCTCGCTCGAAGCGCGGCTACGCGTCGAAAAGACTTCCCGAAAAAAAAGAGAAACGAGATCACGACGGGCGTGAGTCCTACGAAAAATCCGTCGATGAATGTTTTCTCAAAAAATGACCAAACGCGATTCGTACGAATACTTAACGATCGGGTGCGTAATTATAACGGCTGGTTCTCTCGAGCGCGCGGCACATGCACACACACAAATAAATACACACACGTACACCGGAGAATCTCGCACAAACACGTATTCCATTAAAACACATATCGAGATTCACGATCGCGCACGGACACGCACACACACACACACAGAAATTCGCACGAAGTAGTGTTTGGCGATGAAGACCACGACGATGACGACGGCGAGCGATAACGGCGAGGTTGAGATGTAGATCGAGAGAGACGAAGTTTGAGCTGAAAATTAACAAAAAAAAAAAAAAAAGCGAATCGCGCACAGCAGTCGGTGAAAAGTCATCGGCATCTCGTTTGTCTTTCGAACACAATAGCAGTCAACTAAAGTGATAAGCTGAAAAATCAGAACGTAGGGATGGCGCGCGTTCCCATTGGCATCATTATACATCCAACGTCCGTTGGGTTTCTCTCCCGCTTCGGCTTGCGCAAAATGGCTAAGATGAAGGACACACGACCACGACGACGACGCTATGCGCGATATACACGTAACGTATATTCGCGCGCGAGGCAACGATGTGTCGGGTGTAGTATGGAGATATCGAGACTCAACGCGCACAGAGAAAATATAATAATAAAATACGAGATCGAATCGAAGTTCGCGAGCGGCATATAGAACAAATATCGTATTATTGTGGGTCCGCGTTACGTGTATCGTGTGTAATAATGTGTAAGGTAAGGCGTGTGAGAGAGACAGAGAGCAAAATGACTCACCTTGGCGCCGATCTGGTTACCGCACTGGCCAGCCTGAATGTGCACGATTTCCCTCATGGTTCTTGTGGTTTAAAATATAAAACTTTGATAAAATATATTTCGAGTGTATATATAAAATCGAGCGAGCCGGGGCGTATGTGCTCTTTTCAATTGATTAAAACCGTCTGTGGGGGCTTGGGGCTATCAACACACGAACCAAGCAGCGCGAGTGCCAGGAGACGAATGCGCGATTCTCCGCTCGAGCGTCGGGCAGCAGCGGCGTCGTCGTCGTGCGAACGCAGGCGAACGTGAATCAGACAGAGACAGACGACGAGCAGCAGCGCTCCAGCCGGTGTAACATTCGCGCGCGCGCGGGTCGAATTCGTGCGAGAGAGAGAGAGATAGGTAGATACATCGAGACGAGAACAATTTCACCGTTGGCGGCGGCGGCGGCGTCGTCGTCGTCGGCAGCGGCAACGATTGCGCTATTGCAGACCGGCTGGCTCGTTCTCTCTCTCGCGCATATACGTGTGGGTATATACGACTTCCTCGAGTTTTGCGGTGCGGCTCGGCATAGACGCACACACACATACACACACACACTTTAAGCATGTATAGGTAACAGAGTAGGCCGTCGTCATCGTCGCTCTGCGGCTGACTGGAACATATCGTAATCGCGCGCCATTGGCTCCCCGCTCGCTTGCGCGAAATCTTTCGAATTTTCGCGCCCGCTTCTATTTACGTGTATTTCAACGGGCGCAACACACATACATGCGTACGTGCACGCGTATAATATAGGCTCCGATATAATACAGCGAATATATCCTCTATACAACGTGTGTGTACGTACAACGCGAGATATATAAGGGAGAGAAGTGTATAGTAGAGTCGACGTTGCAAACTGTACACCACTACTACCGCGCGAACTATTTAGTCCGTGCGATAGCGCAGCGTTGCCAACTTTCTCTATAATGCTCCTATGTGCCATACACATTATCATTGCCTTGTATCGCCTATATATACTCCGACTGACACTCCGCCGCTCGGTGTTGTGTATTCCACATGCATTTGCTATATGTACATGAAATAATGAGGCACTATAGGCTGTGTGCGTATCGTCGCTGTCTCCAACATATACCTGTATATGTAGCACGTATTGTGTTCGTATAGACGTCGCTCGACGTATTGTTGTGTACATACGCACATACACACGCGAGATAGGAATATGTATAAACACACCGCCGTTTAAAGGCCGATGATTCCGACGAGATTCGATCGTCTCTCGGCACATATAGAAGACAGAGAGAGAGAGAAGCTCGCGAAAGAGAGAAAGGAAGTCGGAGTCCGTGAGTCTATGTATGTATATGTGGGTATTATACACTTTATAGGAACGTCGAGGATATGTGTGTATACACGACTAGGTATAGGATACGCTACGTGCATTTCGCGAAGAATTCATATGCTCGCCAAAATACTATTTTTGGTACATTATGCTGTGTCTTTGGAACGAGCAAATATCGATGCTACGTGTATACCTACACACATCATGTGTATTCTATTCGCCCCCGTTATCGATCGCTTCACGCACGCGATTTTTCTGCGGCGTTTCATCTCGCGAGAGGCAACTTGTTCGATAGCATTCGCGTCTCGTAGATATGTATGTATCTAAACACACACACACACACACGCATAATAAACATGACTCAAATTAATCATACGTGTGTGCGCGTGTTTGTCTCTCGTTGAGACGAGCGTTTAAATATTCTATAAGCGTAGGCGTGGCTCCTGCCTATTAGCGCACACGAGATTGTATTGTGTATACGAAATTGACGAGCAGCCGAGCCGAGGTTTATTAGCGACCTACTAATATACAACGCGCAAAAACAATATCAAATACGCTTATTTGCTCGAATCCGTCCGAAGATATTTACGAGTGTTTTTTTTTTATTCTTCTTTTTTGACAGTTTCGCCCGACAGATACGTAACAGCAACTTCTTCGATGCTCCACGAAATGACAACAACAACAACAACGAAAAAAAACGAGATAACGGCATCGAGTTCTCGTTGCGCGACAGCAGCAGCAGCAGCACAATTCGATTAATAATCCACGACGTATTTTTCTACGACTTTCTTTTTCCGTGTCTAAAAGCGTTGGATGTGTGTGCATATATATATACAGTGCAGTGGCTTTTCAATCGCGATCGCGACGAGAGCAATTATCGCAATTTTTTTGCGCCTTTGAAGATCGACTGCCGCCGCCGCACACACGATATATTAATGCATAAAACGAATCGCGTTAGACACGCCGCTCTATGATATATATTGTAACGCGAATATTATTGCCTTTACAGACGCCGTTCGATATTTATTACGGAGCTTTTATAATAACACATCGAGATCGATGCGTGTGTATGCGATGTTTTGCGCGAAACGATTGACATTGGTGTATAGTATAAGTACACTTCGCTGCACGTTTAAATAATATCGATCCGGTCAATGTCGCGCTCGCATAGACAGGAACTGGACTATGTATGAAATATAAATATGACTTCTTTTTTAGAAACCAATTTCTCTATCTATCTATCTATCCATCTCTTTTCAGGTATACAACTTTTAATTCATAAATAAAATACATCGCGATGCCAGCGTTTAAAAGGAAAATCAGGTCACATCGATGCGGCGCCTATAGGACCCGTTAATATTGCATCGTTTCTTCTCTCTTCTTCTTCTTCTTGTTTTTTTTTTTTTCTTTTTTTTGGCGTTTTCGTATCTAGCAACCAAACTCGTTTTATATGTATGTCGCTGCTCCATGGTATACGCCCGCGATGGATGTGTGTATAAAAATATAAAATATGTATCAGCCGCTCGCAACGTTTTTAATGCGTTTAAATGATATGAAAAAAAAAAAATAATAATAATAATAATAATGACGAGGACAGTTTCGTGATGGTTTTTAGCATGTTTATTCTCAACGATGACGGCAACGTGGATCGGTATGACCATGAGGATGATGCTGCCCCGGTGGGTGTGTGTGTGTATTATATAGCGAGCTGATCTTCTGTCCAAATCGCAGGTTACCTCCTCCGTCTCGCTCGGCTTAATTATAACGAAAACAAAATGATGATTATAATAATCATAATTATAAGTCTCAACGCGAGAATTATCAATCATACATAACTTAAACGTTTCTTCTTTACTCACTTAGCCGACGCTCGTTCTCCATTTCTTTCTTTGTATGAATTAAGCATGCAATGTGCTCGCGCGTAGGTGCGCGTATCGCGAGCGAATCTAGATCTCGCCGCGCGTATATGGATGTATAAAAGCTCGCTCGTCAGTCCTTAATGCTCGATGCTTACATTATACGAACATAAATCAGAAAAATGTTCTCTTATCTCGGGGCCGGCTAACGCTATATAATAACGTTATTTTATAATGCCGCTCGAAGTCGCGTTGCGGTTTTATATGCAGCGACGCGACGATACCATGTTGTTGTATCGGCAATATGGCAATGCGACACGCGACACTATTATGTGTACGAGCTGGCCTATTTATACACGTGTCCAAATGTGACATATTATATTTGTACAAAAGCTCTGCGCTGCGAGTTGAATTCGAAGTTGAGATAGATTCGCTTCTCGTTCGAGTGTATACAATATACAAACTGTAATGTGGCGTTGAAGCGAGAGGATCGTCCTGCGGTACTCGTGTAGCGTATAATACATCCACCACCAGTTCGGCTATTAAATATTATATACGTATAATTAGACGTGAATTTGTCGTCGTCGTCATCTCGTTCTCGTTCGCCACAGGTATACATATATTGTACAGAATTAAATTTCCCTCGAGTCGTGTAGTATACACCGCGCGTATAATATATAACACCGTATACAGCCACGTGTCTATATATTCGTGTGCGCAAGGGACGATGATTCACTCCCGACGTTGCCGCGTCTACGCTGAGAAACCACCCCCGCGACTGGTACACCTCCCTGTATATATACAACGAGTAATATGTACGTGACTCGAGGTTTTTTTTCCTATATATACTATACTTTTCTCTCCAACTTTCGATGCGCGATGATTCATCCTCGTGTATAATGCGTAAGGGGTGTCCTGCGCGCGTGTATGTGTGTGCGTGGATGCGTATTATTTCTCCCTCCCTTCGGCTCATGGTTTTTCCATCGATCTTACGGCCTGAGCTTTTACCCATCTTACATACGCTGGTTTTTTTTATATTATTAAATATATCTAAACTTGGCCGGAAAATATGTTTTTTTTTCAGCCGCGAGGTAAGAGCGTATAATACCATGATATACATTTAATCGTATGTATCTCATTAGAAATCATACGAGGATAATAAAATTTAATTAAAGCTCGAGCTCAGAGCCACGAGCAGGCATCGCGCATAAATCTTCGGATTATATCCGACGTCCTTTTTTCTTTCTGTGTATTTGTATAACTGTAATTGAAAAAGCAGCAATGAGCCATCCGTACATCGTGTAAGCGCTGAACGAAGCAGCTGCAGCGGTGCATCGTCGTAAAGTCGGCGCTTGACTCGTATCACTTGGGTGGCAATAATTGTTGATATAGCGAGACACGAAGCATCGCATAGAGTGGGCTGTTTGTGATTTTGCGACTTGGAAAATCCGACGCTGAATTTTAACGACTCGACGATCCTGCAACGATGCAAAAATAATGATCGAGTTGAAATTAGCGAAGATGATGTTGTAAAAATGTATTTTATCAATCGTCGTTCGCCTTTCCAACCATGTATATTATTCTCACTCGGTGGTAAGTTGTGAAGCACGCCAACCACGCCGTGTCGTTCATTGTACGAGTAACTATTGATCTCGATATTACAGCAAATTCTTTAAAATAATTAGTTCTAGAATGCCAAGAAAATTATTCGAATCGTTCCAAGTTCAAATTTTAAATTGGATCAAATATTGTATTAATATATAAACAGATTAATCGGCAATTAAATTGTAAACAATATGATCATAAACAATTTTGATATCGTCCTTTGAAATATTTATCATGCTTATAGTCAAGACAAATTAATTTGTATATTGCCTTTCCCGGTAGAACAAGTCATAGACCAAAAGATAAACTTAACTTATTCAATTTCCATGGTATTAAATAGAAAGATCCAACGTTTATTTTAAGTACCAAAATGGATAAAAGTGAAAAGAAATCCGAAGAAGTTGTCTCGGAAAATAATTCAAGTGAACATGACATTGATGTTTCAGAAGATAAACAATACATTTGTGATATTTGTCAAGAGGCATTTACACTAGAATCAAGTATGTTATCACATCGAAATACAATTCATAATGAAAAAAAAGATTTTGCATGTGATAGCTGCGATAAAAAATTTGAGTTCCGAAGTCATTTAAGTAGACACCAAATATCGGTACACAAAAACCGCAACGATTTTACATGCGACATGTGCGAGAAAAAATTTGTGAAGAAATCAAGTTTGTTTGCGCATCAAAAATTAATACATAAAGATGGTAAAAATTACTCCTGTAAAAAATGCGAGAAGAAATTTGAAAATAAATCAACTTTACTCAAGCACAAAAAAATATTCCACGAAGTCTTCAAAGATTTCTTATGTGAAAATTGTGCAAAGAGATTTGGAAATAAACAGAGTTTGCTCTTGCACATAAAGAAAGTACACAACAAGCCTGAGGAGAAAATTGGAAAAAAATTTAAATTGATGAAACGCCGTAAGACAGTCCACGGAGATCGCAAAGATTACACATGTGACAAATGCCATAAGAAATTCATAAATCGAAGCAATTTACAAAAACATAAAAAAATAGTCCACGAAGGTCGCAGAGATTATGCCTGCAACAATTGCGAGAAGAAATTTACACAAAATTCGAGTTTGCTCATTCACCTAAAAACAGTACACGATGGTCGTAAAGATTACGCATGCAACATGTGCGAGAAGAAATTTGGGAAAAAATGGGATTTGCACATACACCGAAAGTCGGTGCACGAAGGTCGAAAAGATTTCGAATGTGACAAGTGTGAGAGGAAATTTACGCAAAAACCGAGTTTGCTCTACCACCAAAGGACAGCACACGAAGGTCGTAAAGACTATACGTGCAAAAAGTGCGAACAGAAATTTGGACAAAACTCGGATTTATTGAAGCATCAAAAGACAGTGCATGAAGGTCGCAAAGATTACGCATGTGAAAAGTGCGAGAAGAAATTTGGGGATCGAAGCAATTTGAAAAGACACCGAAAAATAGTTCACGAAGGATGCAAAGATTTTGCTTGCAACAATTGCGAAATGAAATTTGGAACTAAAAGAGATTTGTTCGTGCACCAAAACACAGTCCATGAAGGACGAAAAGATTACGCATGTGAAAAATGCGAGAAGAAATTTAGCCGTAAATGGAATTTACTCGACCATCAAAAAAGGGTACACAAATGTCGCAAGGATTTCGCATGTGATATTTGTGAGAAAAAATTTACACAAAAATCGAGTTTGCTTTATCACCAAAGGACAGTACACGAACGTCGCAAAGATTACATATGCGACAAGTGTGAAAAGAAATTTGGATATAAAAATTCTTTGTTTTTGCATGCAAGAATAGTTCATGAAGGACGCAAAGATTTGGCATGCGACAAATGCGAGAAGAAATTTGGACGAAAACCGAATTTGCTCAGACACCAAAAAACAGTACACAAAATTTGTTAAGAAATTTGAAAAGATGTAAAAATTAAGAATCAATTTGACCGATCATAAACAAGTTGTTTATAAAAAATTTGAATATTTCGAATCTCAAAAAATTGTACTCCATAACTATATTTGATCGAAGGAACATTTGTGAATCTCATATTTAGTATCACTCGATCAAGTCTTAAACTTACCGAAAATTGTTTGCTTTGATATCAACACCGATCATTTTTCAATCAAATCGTTGAATATCTCAATCTTCAAAGGCTTATATACACTTTAAACTCAAAAATTTTTTTATTGATTTTTTGTGCAGGATTTTTCCTTCATTTTCCATCGCATTTTTCAAAACTTGAAATGTTGATTTTTTAAATACTATACTTTTTCGTATACTTTACGCGTTAAATTTTTTCTCCTTTTGCGTTTTCTATCGAGTCGTGTTTTTGTTCACTTGTCGTATTTTTCAGAAAGTACCGATTGAGCTACATCATCAGGGTCGCGTATACACTTCTTCAGAACATCATTGCCCCTGACCGTAAGCACTTTGGGAGGGATCGAGGAATCAAATCGTGTAAAAAATTGTATCGCTCATCGCAGACTTCTCATTTTTGTTATTGTTTCAATCGTGATAAATTTAAACAATACAAATAGAAAAATATCAAATTAACTTGAATTTTAACCTTTTCACAGGTAATAAACGTTCGAGAAAAATAACATTTTGAATTGAGTTGAAGTGCAAGAACAAATATACTGCGAAAAATTGTCCAAAAAATATCTGCTTATTAATTTCTGCAATGAATGTTGTTAAAATTTGAATTTGAATTTGATTTTTATTTTAATTATACAGTCTCGGTAGTGAAGTTCCGAAGGTTGCTGATACAGCTCTGCACTTTCCTTTCAAAAACTAAGAAGCAAGGTAGACACATATTTTTGGGTAAACGTAATATTGTCACGACGAGGCTGAAGAAAGTCAATATTCAGAACGATCCATAAATTTTTCTATCTGGGTATATGTGTACAGGAACCAATGTGCCTCAGCATTCATGTACTGTATATTTAACATGACTCAGAGACGCGTTTACATTGTTACCATATAATATACAATCGTGCAAAAGTAGTGCCAGATGTTCGCTCGCAGGATATTATAGATCGAGAGCCGCGTTCACGATCGCGTGTATGCGTCCACATTTGCGCTGCAGCAGAAGCCGAGCCCCCGCAAAATTATCGCCTGCTTATGCGCGTCGATAGGGATTTCGAGGTGTTTAAAATGTGCAATCAATAATGCCTGTCTGTATTGCCGTAGCTCTCGTTGACTTTTTTTCGGGTGAAAGGAGGGAATCTCATTATTTGGTTTTGGGATAATTACTGAAACAATTGAATTATACAAAAGCTCGATTCCACCTTGATCGTGTTCGTGGCGCCTGAGACACGTATTATTAGAAATCAAACGAACTTACCTGTAAGTGAAGTTCGATGATAATTATACGAAGTCCTTGCTTGAGTAATTAATGTAGATCGTTAATTCGAACGATCAGAACCACGAATATTCAGAGACAAAAAACGATCACCTTACAGCTTACTTCTCACTGTTCCTCCTGTATTCGTCATATTTTCAGAGTTCTATTTTTAATAATCGCTATATCGGGTGGGAAGAAAAACTTGACTTTTTTTTTTTTTTTTTTTTTTTNTCCTGAAAATGAGATTATTCCTATTTTCATGCAAGGTAAACCTCATGCTAGTATCTGAAAACCGTAGGAATATTGATTGAATAAATAGGAATTGAAATATTATTGTTTTAAATAGAGCAACATACATTTTTTTACTTCTTTAAATATTATATTTCCGGAAAAATTTAGACACTTTAACACTGAAAATAGTAAATTTTATTTCGACAATTGTGATACAAGTTTCTGGAAAAACATGAAATTTTACATTAGAACCAGCATCTATATCAATTACAAAGACTGAAAAATCATGCGCAAAGCTAAAATTTCAGAGCCTGAGACGTTCCTTGCTTTTTCCCCGTTTTTAGATACTCTCCGATTTTTCGTGGCTGTTGTTCAGGATTATACTATTTGTGTGAGTATTTCTCCACACCCACCACATGTTAAAGTAAGCTAATTGTGCCCCTGAATGAATGAAATTTTCATTACAATTTCAAGTGCCTCGCTCATCGTCGTACATAACTCTCTACGCTCAGTCGCTATTTATCTATTCCTGCCGTAAGTGTTTACAAATGACATCCGTCAAAGTGTATACATGAAAATACGGTACTGTGTTGGCTATTCAAGGCATCTAACTTTAACTAATTTCTCAGTGAATATCGTAAAAATTCACATTAACTTACTCTAACCCAGTGAGAGATGGAGAACAGAAAGGACTCAGTTAGGTATACACTTTTTTATGCATGCCGAAAATATTTGTTTAATCGATTGTTTCTTTAGTATTAAAGAGGAACCGTCCGATGATTGGTCAGGTGTAGGCGACAATCCTGACGATCGAGTGGACTCGTGCACAGTCGAAAACTTTGAAAATCAATTAACGATAAATGAACCATCGGTGAGTTTCATCTCTTATGAATTATATTCAAATTTCCACTATTAAAAACTACAACACAATTTTAATGTTAGGCCAATAACACGAATGAGTCTATGCCATTACAGGAGGGGTTAGACGGGATAATTTTGGTGGATTTCGATAGCAAAAATGTAAAAAATGAAGTTGAGTTTTCATCTACATCCATCTGCAAAACTGTGAATCAAATTTGTCAACCTATTGTGAAATTAGAAAACGAAACTCAGACCCATGACATCAATGACGATATTGGCATCGATTTCGAGTGCAGGGATGTTAAGCTTGAAGTAAAACCCTCATTGACAAACATCAGTCCATCTACTGTGAAAACAGAAAATCAAAATCGAACAAATCACTCGAAAGAAAAAAGTTTGATAATTTTAATAAAAAAAGGATTCGATTACGTTAATAACTGTCAATTTATCAGTGGAGAAGCAAATATGAAACCGACTCACAAGGGCATTGGAGCACTTGAATGTAAAATTTGCAACAGGTCATTTGCAAACAAACAAAACTTAAAAAAGCACATAAGTACAGTACATAAGCGGAGCACACCCTTTGAATGTAAGATTTGTAACAAATCATTTGTACAAAAGAGTAGCCTCAAAAGGCACATAGTTACAGTACATAAGCGGAGCAAAACCTCTGAATGTAAGATTTGTAACAAATTATTTGGACAAAAGAGTAGCCTCAAAAGGCACATAATGGCAGTACATGAGAGGAGCAAACCCTTTGAATGTGATATTTGTCAGAAATTATTTGGACGAAAAAGTGAACTTGAATCTCACATAAGTTTAGTACATCTTCGTAGTAAAGCCTTTGAATGTGATATTTGTCACAAATCATTTGGACTATCAAGTAACCTCAAACGTCATGTCAACGCAGTACACGATCGTAGCAAAACCTTTGAGTGTAAAATTTGTCTTAATTCATTTAGTCAAAAACATCATCTCAAATATCACATAAATTCCGTACACAATCATAGCAAACCTTTTGAATGTGATATTTGTCACAAATCATTTGGGCACAAAAGTCAACTCACTACTCACATGAAGGCGGTACATAAACGCGAAAAACCTTTCGATTGTGAGATTTGTCATAAATCATTTGGATATCAGAATGTACTGAAAAGACATAGAGCAACAGCTCATAATCTTGGAAATCCCTTTGAATGTGATATTTGTCACAAATCATTTGGACTATTAGGTGTCCTCAAACGTCATGTCAACGCAGTACACAATCGTAGCAAAACCTTTGAGTGTGATATTTGTCACAAATTATTTAGTCAAAAACATCATCTCAAATATCACATAAATTTCGTACACAATTATAGCAAACCTTTTGAATGTGATATTTGTCACAAATCATTTAGATACAAAAGTCAACTCACTACTCACATGGAGGCAGTTCATAAACGTGAAAAACCTTTCGATTGTGAGATTTGTCATGAATCATTTGGAAACAAGAGTGATCTTAAAAGGCACAAGATGACTGTACATGATAGAAGAAATACCTTTGAATGTGACATTTGTCACAAATCATTTGGATATAAGAGTGTCCTCAATAGACACATAAATGCAGTACATAATCGGATCAAACCTTTTGAATGTGAAATTTGTCACAAATTATTTGGATACAAAAATGTACTCAAAAACCATATAATGACGATACATAATGAAAGCCAACCTCAGGAGTGTGAAGTTTATTCGATGCATTTTGGACGCAACGAAGACTTTTGCAATCAGTCGGGTTACGCTATGTAATTTTAGACAATCTTTCTTATAAACAATAAAGCATTTCAAACTGTCATTTATTTGGTCGTGACTGTGAAAACCTTTTACTAAACTTTCAAACATAAACTTAAATATTAACGAGGTTTGGTCGTCAATTTTTTGAAATATCGTTTTTGAAACATCCCATTTATATCGACTGAACTGTTTTTCCAAGTAAATGCTTCTTATTGGTTTTCGTTGCTTGCGCGACGATGACCCGATTTCAATTGCAAAAATAGGCAAAGAGATGTAGACCTCGACGACTGCGGACTTTTTTGTTTTCAATTAAAATTCTGTAATGCAACGATCCGCCGATGTTGTATATTATTAGGTATGCGTGCCGCACGCTCGAATTATCCTGGTGCGTGTGATACACAAGAATCAGACTTAAAAAGTTCCAGCCAAGAGCAGCGCCCGAAAGACTCTGAATCTGTGAATCGGCGCATAGGCCGCGCAGCAAAAGCTTTTTTCGTTCCATATAAAAAATCGTGCGAAAATCTGCCCCCGCACCCGAGACCATCACGATGGAATTTCAACTTCTTCATCGATAAACTTTCAATCGAGCCTCACAAGTTTTTTCCCCAATTGATTTTGGCTTTATATCTCGAACGAGACAGATGTACGTGGTGCAGCTATTTGCGATTTCGTGCTATACGATAGTACAACAACTCTTTGTTGAGCCTGTGCAACGTCGATCCGGAATGAAATTCATTTGTCATCGAAAAAATGACGTTTGTTTCAAATCATCTTTGTTTCTCTCCTGAAACCCAAAATACGAAAAGGTCACTGGCTATTTCACTCGACATCTTCCAAGTACCGTAGGCCAATCGTGCTCCGCGCTATAAAAATGCCAACGACGAGAGAGCGCGATCGAAGTTCAAGATTTTAGTCGAGAGTCCATTATACGAATTTATCCAAAAAATTCGAATGCTCGACAACGACGACATAATTCAATACGCTATATATTTTTTTTTCTCAAACGAGTGCGGGGGCCCCTTCGTCCAATGCGCGGCTGGTTCACGCAGCCTAAAAATCGTTACGATGATGTCATACATGAGATGCCGAAGGCAGCTATATTCAAAAGAATTCATATCGGCACGCGTTTACACGTGATTCAAGATTCGGCGCCTCGATCTAATGCCGCTCGACGAAATTCTTGGGGATGTCCAAAAAATATCGATCAAAGATTGTGTTTTGTTCAAAAAACATATTCTTTGTCAGAAAAAAATCAAGCAAAAAGAAACGGCATATCAAGTCCTACCAGATATATTATTAATATCAGTTGTCCGCTGGAATTTAAAAAAAGACACATTATTCGTGGCAAATCGTATACACGATTATTTACGTAGAACTTATTATTGAGCAATAATACACACGCCGCAGCGAGAATCGAAAAGTCGACCCCGCGCGTGACATGTGCCTCTCGAATATAACACGATATTATCGCGCAGCTTCCGACGCAGTATAAGCATATAGTCAACTTTAACCGCTTGTCTCGTAATAACGCTCATATACACGCTCGTAACGCAGGCAGGTCTCGAGCTCAAAGTACGATATATACATAGTGCCTCGTCGAACGTACAGCCGGAAGTAAATCTTATCGTAGACTTTCACGATACACGTACATCGATTCGCACACACACACACACGCGCGCATTTTATAAAATTGAGCGTGGTTTTACGCTATTTACCTCTCGGCGCAGCGCGTGTGTGTAGCAAAGCGCGCAAAAAGTATAATAAAATGACCAATTGGCCTCGATCGGTTTTTAATACGTTAATACTTCATTTATATTAATGCCTCGTTCGATGGAGGGGGAGTAGGAGCCCGTGCGAGAATTCTACAGGTATTATATACCTTTAAATTCGTTGCTTTTTTTTCTTCAAAATATTCAGCTCCACGAATCAGACCTCGCGCGGTGCGATAATATATTTGTATTTCGAAAGCCCACGCTCTCGGGCTAGCTGTCGCGCGACTTTTTTTTTTTTTTTTTGCAGAAGAAAAACGTTTTATCCTTAGTTTCAAAAGTAAAAAACAAAGGTATGCAATAAAACCCACAACCACGACGATAAACGAAGAAATTTTTCTACCATATTTATAATTTTCGTTCAAAATGCGACGCCGCGCAGCTGCGCTCGAGTTTGACCTGCATTTCGTGCCGTGCGGTGTACAGCGTCAAGCGCGTTTAACGCGGAAAATCTGAAAAATGCATAAGCCTCGTGAGAAGAAAAAAAACTCGTTATCCCGTTCGCAACTTTTTCCGCGTTAGCATGAAATTTTATGGCTACTCTTTTTTTCTCCATTTTAACGCGAAGTTTTTTTTCTTCTCACGATCAGGCGCGCGCGCGCATCCTCCAGTTTTCTTCCTCGGTGCACCAATTTTCAGACATCGCTCGAGAGAGTACACGCGGGAGACCATCGGCGAGTCGTTCTTGGCGCATACATAAAACACGTTACATTTTCCACAGTTGAATTATTGTATTGCACAGTAATGAACGGCATTTACACACGAGGACTTTGTCGCGTCGCGATACATTTCTTTGTACTCTCGGCTTCTACGTGTATATACATTGAAACAGTAGCGAGTATTGTTTCGCGCTCATATTATATAGCTTAAAAACGAAATAATATACGTTGTACATAATGTATACCACGAGAGCAACGAGAACTATATATAGTGTATAGTTATTACGGCATGGGCGACATTAATATATGGGTCAGATTCAGAATTTTTCAAATAAACCTGCGGGCGAGGTTCACGGATTTTCCTGCAATTTTGGTATGTTATAGTACATGATAAAAAAGTGCCAAAACCAAAATTTTGGACCCCCTCCCCCCTCCTACCCCCCTCCTCCCCTATAGACGTCCATTTTCTATCTATATTTTTTCTGAAGGCCTGAAGCTATTAAAAAATCTGAAAAAATTCATGAGGGTACTTTTCAACAATCCAAACAACCTTGAATTTTTTCAGATTTTTCGAGTGCTTCAGGCCTTCAGAAAAAATCATTGAAAATTTAAATTATTTTATTTTCGGTAAAATGGTTCGATATACCAGACCGGAGTATTTTTTTCTGAATTCTGACGTCAAAAAACGATTCCTTGAATTTTTTCAGAATTTTTCATTCATGTCCATTCAGCCTAGAGCTGAAAAACCGCTTTTTTTCACGAAAATAATTNGATACATAATGAAAGCCAACCTCAGGAGTGTGAAGTTTATTCGATGCATTTTGGACGCAACGAAGACTTTTGCAATCAGTCGGCTTACGCTATGTAATTTTAGACAATATTTCTTATAAACAATAAAGCATTTCAAACTGTCATTTATTTGGTCGTGACTGTGAAAATCTTTTACTAAACTTTCAAACGTAAACTTTAAATATTAACAAGGTTTGGTCGTCAATTTTTTGAAATATCGTTTTTGAAACATCCCATTTATATCGACTGAACTGTTTTTCCAAGTAAATGCTTCTTATTGGTTTTCGTTGCTTGCGCGACGATGACCCGATTTCAACTACAAAAAAAGGCAAAGAGATGTAGACCTCGACGACTGCGGACTTTTTGTTTTCAATTAAAATTGTGTAATGCAACGATCCACCGATGTTGTATATCATTAAGTATGCGTGCCGCACGCTCGAATTATCCTAATGCGTGTGATACACAAGAATCAGGCTTAAAAACTTCCAGCGGCGCTAACGATCCAATGCTGCGATCCTGTACATAATAGGCCCTTATACAGGCTTCAATTGAAATTGAATGCGTAACAATGAGAGAGAAACATAATTAATTACAATTAAATACAAATTTGATAATGAGGGATAATCGTCGATAATAGATCCATTTCTCGATCGAAAGGGCACTGGCTCGACGATTTTTACTCTCTGATCGCGAAACTGCATGCTACGAACGAACGCGTAGAAAATAAATGTAAAAGTAAAATAAGAGCTATTGCCATTATATTACGCGCAATGCGAGCAAAAATAAATGTAACGCGTTTACGCGATAGGTAAAATCATTCGTTCGGAATAATATACACGTTATACGGAATATAGACGGGCGCCAGGCATGCACCTGCGCATAGCCTTATATGAGCAGTCGCGGAGTCGACTGCGCGAAAATTTACCTCCTCTCTCTCTCTCTCTCTTTCCTCTGTGGTCGCTGCATTCGAGTCGTGGCGCGGCTTTGCTGCCACGCAGGCTCCCACAAGCTCTCTGATCTCGACTGCGCGCCTCTGTGCGTTTTTTTTATTGTGTCTGCGCTCACTTCGAGACACACCGGCAGCTTTCCGACGCTTTTATTTTGACTGCGCTCAAAATCTCCGGCTCTCGACTAGTAAGGTACAATTGCTGGAAAAAAAATTACGTCTGCACGCTCTTTTAATTCAGCACCGAGATATGTATTCAAAGGCTTACGAAAGGTTTCTATTTTACAAAATTGAATCTCGCTATTATACCAAGTGTATTCTATGTAAAACATATTTATTGTTTTTTTATATATGAATAAGCAGCTATGTGTAAGAACCGTTGCAAGATATGAAACTTTTGTATGAAATGAAATTAAAAAGCGAAAAGTGTATGAATTTGATTTTTTTTTCAATTTTATTTATTTATTAGAGTAATACGTGGAAATTTTGTAAAACTGCATAAAACTGGACATTAAGAAATACTGAAAACTGATTATCGCCATGACGAGCTTAGGACTGTAACCACCAAACAAATATTCAATAAATCTTTGTTCGTAAATGATTCATCGATGATTAATTCACAGCAGAGAATCGGCAGATGGTATCGTATCAGCTCCAAAAACAGTTCCAGTGCCTATCGCCGGAAAAATCTTCTCGATTGTACCTCGTATACCTTTTAGGTAGGCGCCACGACTCTGCTGTTCCGGATAGTATCAAGTAGTCAGAATATGTGTCTTTTTCGCCACTTTTTAGAGTCGTAAGTGGACAGGCCCTGATTTATCATTATATTTTTCGTACCTTCGTTTTTTCATATTTAACTACTTATCGAACAATCCGTGCTTTGCAAAAAATACAGTAATCGTAACGGCATCCCTTCGGTTCAGTTAGTAGCCTCTTTAATTTCTCGAGACGTTCGACGACGGCCAAAGTGTCAGACGCTAGTCTTAATTTGAAGCTACCCACATTATCAAAAATATCTTCACATTCTCTACCAAAGTCACTTGAAGTGGGGAAAACGAAGTTGGACAAATCTGCACCAAGATCCAAGAGTATATCGACCACACCAGGAAGGTAAAAGATTCGCCACGGCTAATTGCAGCGGCGTCCTGCCCTTCTTGTTCTTCGCGTCAACCTGCACTGTGTCTGATGCATCTTAAATCGTGATAATTTTTGCAAACAATGAGCAATGGTATAAATCCGTGTGCATCGGCTAAATTCTGATCGATGCCAATTTACAGCAGAATTTCGGCTACCTTCTTGTGCCAGAGCCTCAGGTGTATCTAAATTTGGATCGCTCCTGTTCCCCGCAGCAATTCGACCTTACTTTTCGTTCCGCGGAGCAGAGCCATGTGCCATGTGTAATACCCATCCTATGCTGGGCGTCGATCTGTAACGTCTGCTGGACGACATAAAAAATCTCAAAGAATTTTTCCAAGAAGTCATCATCTACTCTTTGCAATGCAATATAGTGCAGATACATATCAATCCCTTTACGTAGTCTACACCCAAGTGCAGCGGCAAATTAACCGCTTTGGGCACGATATGCAATTGGGATCCTGACCGAGCTCGAGAAATTTCTCGAAGTTTACGTCACAGTCAGACATTCAGGTCGCGTGAAAGTGAGTCAATCCAGATTCGTTGGTGTAGTTCAACTTGTCGTCTATTTTCAAAATCTCACGAACCTTGAGTTATTGGACGTGGAACCTGTACTTGGCAGCAAAATGAACTTGTATGAGGCGAAGGAGCAATGGTTTACCGTCTTCATCATGGTCGGGCTCGTCTTTGCATCCTGTTTTTATCATAAAACTAAAAAACTCGACGGGATCGATTTTCATATACTTCATGAGCAACCAATCAATTTCTTCCCCTCGAATCGAAAAATCTCTCGGAGGTCGGGAAGTCGACTCTTCCCATTATTGATGATTATCTAAATTTGACGAAGAAATTTACAAGTCTCCTCATCAATCTCCCAATGAAATATTATATTTTCCGGTAAAATTGAGGTAATTTATACTCTCGGCTTTTTCGTAGCTGTTTTAAAAAATATACTTTTCGTTTAAATGTTTCTCAACGCCTATAGCACGTTAGCTAATTGTGCGCCTGAATGAATGACATTTTCATTACAATTTCGGTTTAATTTTCATGTCTTGTCAGTGCCTTACTCATCGTAGTACATACTTCTCTACACTCAGTAGCTGTTCATCTATTCCTGCCGTAAGTGTTTACAAATAACATCCGTCAAAGTGTATACACGAAAATAAGATACTGTGTTGGCTACTCAAGACATCTAACTTTAACTGATTTCTCAGCGGATATCGTAAAAATTAACAGCAATTAACTTTAACCCAGTGAGAGATGGAGAACAGAAAGGACTCAGTTAGGTATACACTTTTTTATGCATGCCGAAAATATTTGTTTAATCGATTGTTTCTTTAGTATTAAAGAGGAACCGTCCGATGATTGGTCAGGTGTAGGCGACAATCCTGACGATCGAGTGGACTCGTGCACAGCCGAAAACTTTGAATATCAATTAACGATAAATGAACCATCGGTGAGTTTTATTTCTTATGAATTATATTCAAATTTCCACTATTAAAAACTACAATAAGATTCTGATTTTAGGCCAATGACACGAATGAGTCTATGCCATTACAGGAGGGGTTAGAGGGGATAATTTTGGTGGATTTCGATAGCAAAAATGTAAAAACTGAAGTTGAGTTTTCATCTACATCCATCTGCAAAACTGAGACTCAAAGTTTTCAACCTATTGTAAAATTAGAAAACGAAACTCAGACCCATGACATCAATGACGATATTGGCATCGATTTCGAGTGCAGGGATGTTAAGCCTGAAGTAAAACCCTCATTGACAAACATCAGTCCATCTACTGTGAAAATAGAAAGTCAAAATCGAACAAATCACGCGAAAGAAAAAAGTTTGATAATTTTAATAAAAAAAGGATTCGATTACGTTAATAACTGTCAATTTATCAGTGAAGAAGCAAATATGAAATCGACTCACAAGGGCATTGGAGCACTTGAATGTAAAATTTGCAACAGGTCATTTGCAAACAAACAAAACTTAAAAAAGCACATAAGTGCAGCACATAATCGAAGCAAACCCTATGCATGTATCACATGTCACAAATCATTTAGTCGAAAATTTCATCTCAAATCTCATGTGAATTCCGTACACAATCATAGCAAACCTTTTGAATGTGATATTTGTCACAAATCATTTGGATCCAAGTGGGCACTTAAAACCCATGTTATGGGAGTACATGATCATAGCAAACCTTTTGAATGTGACATTTGTCACAAATCATTTGGATATCAGAATGTACTCAAAAGTCATAGATTAACAACTCATAATCTTGGAATTCCCTTTGAATGTAAGATTTGTCGCAAATCATTTGGACGAAAAATTGACCTCAAAGTTCACATAAGTATAGTACATCTTCGTAGCAAGCCGTTTAAATGTGATATTTGTCAGAAATCATTTGGATATCTGAATGTACTCAAAAGTCATAGAATAACAGCTCATAATCTTGGAATTCCCGTTGAATGTGAGATTTGTCGCCAATCATTTGGACGAAAAAGTGACCTCAAAGTTCACATAAGTATAGTACATCTTCGTAGCAAGCCGTTTAAATGTGATATTTGTCAGAAATCATTTGGAAGAAAACATCATCTCAAATCTCACATAAATACAGTACATAGTCAAATTAAACCTTTCGAATGTAGCATATGTCACAAATCATTTGGTCAAAAATATCATCTGCAAGTGCACATTATGACGATGCATGAGCATAGTAAACCCTTTGAATGTGAGATTTGTCATAAATCATTTGGTCAAAAACAATGTCTCAAATCTCACATAAGTACCGTACATAGTCGAATTAAACCTTTTGAATGTAACATATGTCACAAATCATTTGGATACAAAAATGTACTCAAAAACCACATAATGACGATACATAATGAAAGCCAACCTCAGGAGTGTGAAGTTTATTCGATGCATTTTGGACGCAACGAAGACTTTTGCCTTTAGTCGGGTTACGCTATGTAATTTTAGACAATCCTTCTCATGAACATTGAAGTATTTATAACTGTAATTTATTTGATCTCGACTTGAAAATCTTTTACTAAACTTTCAAACATAAACTTAAATATCAACAAGGTTTTGTTGTCAATTAGTTTTTTGAAATACCGTTTTTGAAACATCCCATTTTTCGACTAAAATATTTTTCCAAGTAAATGCTTCTTATTGGATTACCAATAAGAAAGTCCTCTATGTTAATGTTTATTATGGCAAACTCAATGAAATCCCTCGAATTGGTAACTGGGTCGACGATCGAATTAAATTTTAACTCTTGCAGTACTGTAAGCGGATTATTTTTTACTTAGTTGAAAATCTTAATTAGCAAAACCGATTTATAGGTAATAAAACTATCGGTTTCATATGTGGCAACTTTCAGATCATTATATACCTCTTTGTGAATGTATCCAGTAGTAAGATAACTTGAATTGAACGAAGTTGAATTGATGGTATAAATATTTACAAAAAAAGCAATCGTATTTTTTAGGAGCAAGTACTTTTTACCTATGAATCGGCCACTAGTTTTATTCATATTTATATCGATCCTGTTAAAAATCTGTAGAGCTACATAAGAAATAAAAAAGTATCATATACAGCATTTTTTTATTTACGTATTTAATATTTTAGTATTAATTATATTATTCCTGCACCAACTAAAGTATCGAAGCTCAAGTTTATATCAATGATTTCTTTTCAATCATACGTATGTATACAGATACGCATATTTGCCTGGCTGCCTTTTTTTAGTAACGTATAAACAATGTTTGTTTATCCAAAGTCATCGCGAGCCTTGGTTCCGACAAGCCACCAAGCAAATATTCAATAAATCTTGGTTTGTTCAATTCATCCATGATTAGCACACAGCAAAGAATTGATAGCCCGCTGAGTATTAGTATGAAATGAGATTCCAGTGCCCATTGCCGGAAGAATTTTCTCGATAGTTTTTCGCACGTCTCGATTGTTGATTCTGAAGAACAACTCGGTTCGCGTCCAAGTCGGTCTTGTAGCCGATCTCGGCTACGAACGCGACGAATCGTAATCTCGTATCCGAGTCAACGGACAAAGTCATGGATTTCAAGAGAAGACGCTCCATCCGCTCCTTGAGCTTTTGTTAGACTTTCATGTCTTACGGTATTCGGTACTTAGCCTTCTTGAGAACCATTGTAAGACTTTCAGGACTCGAAGAACCTCAACAAGTTCACTTTGTCATATAAATTCAGATGGTCATTTTATTCAAAAAAGTGTAAATTAAAAGGTTATTCAAATAGTATAAAAAGGAAAAAGCACTTATGAGAGTTTTAGCTGATTTTTAAGAATGTAGAAAACATTTTTTGATTTAAATTAAACAATTTAATGGTTTACATCTTGGATTTTTCCGTGAGAAAAATTTTTATCGAAATTTTAGAAAAATATCTGTATAACTAAATTACATACACATTAAAAATTGTCAATCATCATTTGTTCTTGCAATTGTCGCTTCCGTAATCATTGCCACCCTCGTGAACTATTTTTTGGTGCCTTCTCAAGTAGCTTTGATCCCTAAATCTCGCTTCGCATTTGTGGCATGCAAAATCTTTGTGACCTTCATGGACTAATTTTTTGTGCGAAAGGAAATGATGTTTTTGTCCAAATTTTTTCTCGCATTTGTCGCATGCGTAATCTTTGCGACCTTCGTGGACTATTTTTTGGTGCAAAAGCAAATGCCATTTTCGTCCAAATTTTTTCTCGCACCTGTTGCATGCAAAATTTTTGTGACCCTCGTGAATTGTCTTTTGGTGTAATACCAAACTCGATTTTTGTCCATATTTCTTTTCGCACTTGTCGCACGCATAGTCTTGGCGACCTTCGTGAACTGTTCTTATATGCAAGAGCAAATACCTATTACATCCGAATTTTCTTTCGCACTTTTCGCATGAGTAGTCTTTGCGGCCCTCGTGGACAACCTTTTTGTGGAAGAGCAAATCCCCTTTTTGTGCAAATTTCTTCTCGCACCTATCGCATTCGAAATCTTTGCGACCTTCGTGTACTATTTTTTGGTGGACTAACAAATGCCATTTGTGTCCAAATTTCTTCTCGCATTTGTCGCATCCGTAATCTCTGCGACCTTCGTGTACTGTTTTTTGGTGTTTCATCAAATTGCCCCGTTCGCCAAATTTTTTTTCGCATTTGTTACATGCGTAATCTTTACGGCCATCATGGACTGACTTTTGGTGTGAGAGCAAATCCGATTTTTGTCCAAATTTCTTGCCGCACTCATCACAAACGAAATCTTTACGACCTTCGTGGACTATTTTTTTATGTTTTTGTAAATTGCTTCGATTTATGAATTTCTTATGGCATTTGTCACATGTGTAATCTTTGCGACCTTTGTGTATTGTCTTAAGGTGCCTTAACAATTTCGATTTTTGTCCAAATGTCTTTTCACCCTTTTCGTGTACTGTTTTTATGTGCAAGAGCAAATTATGTTTATTGTCAAATTTCTTCGCGCACGTTTCACATAAATAATTTTTGAAAACTTCGGGGAATATTTTTTCGTGCTTGAGTAAAGAGAATTTATTTTCAAATTCCTTTTCGCACTCGTTGCACGAGTAATCTTCTCTATCCTCATGGACTGATGTTATGTGCAAAAGCAAACTCCGTTTATTGCCAAATCTCTTTGCACACTTTTCGCATAAGTAATCTTTGAAAACTTCGTGGAATATTTTTTTGTGTTTGAGTAAAGATGATTTATTTTCGAATTTTCTCTCGCACTTGTTGCACGTGAAATCTTTGCTATTTTTGTGGATCAATTTTTGGTGAGTAAACAAACTTGATTTTTCCACAAATTTCTTCTCGCACTGATCGCATGCAAAATAGGTGCGGTTTTTGTGTTCTGACACTTGGTGTCTACTCAATTGACTTCGGAACTCAAATTCCTTCTCACACATATCACATGTAAAAAATGTTTGTTTAGTGTGAATTGTGTCTTGATGTGTTATTAAACTTGATTTTAGTGGAAATGCCTCATGGCAAACATCACAAACGTGTTGTTTTTCATTGGAAACAACATCGTCGTGTTCCCTTGAATTATTTTTCAAGACAACTTCTTCGTTTTTCTTCTCACTTTTATCCATCTCAGTGTCCAAATTAAACGACGAATCCTTCTATTTAGTACCAAAGAAATTTATTGAGTTAAATTTATCGTTTGAGCGAGAATTTTAAAGTAATTTTCTCATACTATAAATATGATTAGTGACAGAAAGATGAAGTCAAAATCGTTTATGAACATTAGGTTCATCTGTTTATTTATTGTCCTTACATTGAATAATTTTAAAAATCAAACTTGGTGTCGATTTCTCCGAAGAATTGTTTTGGACTTCTGAAACTAAGTATTTTAGAAGAAAAAACCAGTAGCATCAACTAAATTATAGATATTTTCAAAAGAAGTAATTAGCATGCTCCGTAATCTGCCGCTGATGATCATTTCGGTGAATTCTATAAATGAAAGCTACAATATTCAGGACGATTTAACGCAACTTTTCTTATTTTTTTTTCTTAGAAATCGATAAAAACTAAGAAAAATTGGTTTTCACCGTATTTTTTAAGTTTTTGCACCTGCTAACCCCATCAAGACAAATGAAACTGAGGCAAATACAAATTTGTGTTTTAATCGGTATTAATTAATTTTATACATCATGAAAGAAAGAGAAAGATCAGTTTTATTAGAAATTATGAGTAAATATAAATTTGACGAACAAAAGATCTTTGAATAATATTGGTTGACTAGAAATTGTAAGATTTTAACATGAAAATGTCATCAATATTATGTTTACTTGAATTTATTGGAATATTCTCACCCAGCAAATTAAATCGTGAATAGAAGTTATTGGAATATATGAGATTTACCAATTATCATTTTGAAGAGAAATAGACAAAAAAGTTGTAAATTTTTTCCGAAGATCGAACACAAATCCAGATATTCTCTAATTTATAGTCTAACTTTCTACTTGCTTAGCTATGCTTTAAGATAGAATGATTTAAAAACATTATAACTGATTTATTATGAACATAGGATTGAATTCAAATCAAATTATGATGCGTCGTTTACAGTAGTAATTATTGTGCTATGAGAAATTTGGTTGAAAAAAAAGTACCACCATGACAATGAACAAAGGTGGAATGATAGTTGATAGCATATGCAATTCAGATATGCACAATCGTTTTGGTACGATTTTTATTAAAATTTACAAAAAATATCTGCATAAGTAATTCACGAACTTTGCGGGTATCAACTATCATTACGCTTTTGTTTACTGTCGTGGTGGTATTTATTTTTGGCTACTTGATTACTTGCAACTATTCAGCCGAGGAGTTTGTTTTCACGTCTTTTTAGGAGCTATGATTGGAGTAGATTTAGAATAGAACAGTTTATTTCATATGCATTTATAGCAAAGTCAGCAAATTTATTGTGATTTTCACTCGTCAACGCAAAATGTTCGCTCTGTGTCAAATTGTTCTTGAAAAAAATTCGATGCAATGCATTAAATTCTCAACGATATCAAATTTTATTCATATATATTTGACATAGGTACAATATATCTTCATTACTTAAGTACTGGACTAAGTTTTCACAGCATAATGATGGGAGTTTGTACTGTGTTAACAACATTAAGTATTTCAATCCGATGTCCGTGAACAATTTTCTCATGAAACAAATAATTATGTATGGTTTAATTGTTTGAGATAAATGAGGAAATTCTTTTTCAAATCTCTTTGAGTTAATTATTGGCCAAAATTCTGAATTTTTCAACAAGTGGTATCTTTTTTTGGGATCAGATGCGCAAACATCAAGAAGAGATACATCGTCTTTTATCCTCATTTTGTTTAATTTTTCTATTTCTACTGAAATTTCAGCATTATATCTAAGAACGTCATTCCTTCCCAACGTAAACATTTTTTGCAATTTTTGCAGGCAATCCTTCGTCTCCACTGTCATGTATGCATTACTCTTTTCAACAAAATGAAGATGCCGATGAATTATTTTAGCCAAATGATCTTTTTCATGGCTCTCGAACTGATCAACATCATAATCCCTACTTTGGACATACGCCAGAAACGAACGAAGTTGTGTCAAAGAACCTGTAAAATGTAAAATGCGTTAGTTGCACGAATTATACAAAATATCTTCATTGAATCTTACCAACGAGTAGACTATCGCTCCGTTCAATGCTGGGTTTACTAAGAATAACTTCATCGACCAAAATTTTCAATACTGTCAGATAGCTTGATTCATTCATTTTATATCCTTTTTCAATCAAGCAATTTATGATTAAAAGGAATGTTATTATTTCGTCAAACCATTTTATGCGAAAATCATACCGCCAATGAAACTTCGAGAGGTCGACACTTTGTACATAAGCTCCACGTTTTAAAAGTACCTGAACTACATCCAGATTATTGCTCAACACAGCTAAGTGAAGAGGTGAATTGCCGTTATCGTCTTTGGCATTAACATCGGCTCCATATTTCAAAAGTGTTCTGACAAATTTGATACCCACTGTGTTTTTATGGATGTAGCCGTGACGGCCTTCCTGATTCCTTGAACATATTTCAGAACCAATAATCGAGTGAAGTATTGACCGCCCATGTAAATATTTTTCTGCAAAAACTTCGTTTACGTCGGCTTCATTTTTAAGCAGAATTTCCAGACACCTAAGATTACTGTGCAATTCCTCGATTATTTTGTATTCTAATCCTTCCCTACAACATGAACAAGTGTCACAAATTGCTTCGCAGCATTTACTGAAGTAAAGGTACAACGGACTATAGCCTTCGCTGTCTTTTTCATTTACGTCGCACTTGTAAATAATGAGTAAATTCAATAAACGAGATTTTTCAGATTCATCCTGATGACACTCGAAGTAAACGTGCAACGGATTTTTTCCCACAAGTTTCGCGTTTTTATTGGCACCATTTTTCAAGAGCATTTCTACTACTTCTATTTGATTAAATTCAATAGCTAGAGTCAATGGTGTTTTATTAATATCACTTGATGAGCGCCAAATAAGATCAAGATCTTCTTTTTGATCTATGAATTTCTGTACCATCTTGATGTTGCCACATATGCAAGCTGCATGTAAGTACGTGAATCCTGCACTGTCACTGCGATTTTCGAGTACCTCCGAATTTTTTCCATTTTTTAGGAGTTTCTCGAAGTAAGGATCAGCGAGTAATTTCAACGTTTCAGATCTTCGACTTAAAAGTTTGAGATACTTCAAAGGGTCCTCGTCCCAGCCATCTAACAATTTATAATCAGCGCCATTGTTTAGTAGTAATTCTAATGTATCCTCTGAAGGTCTGTTTTTAATGCATAATGACAATGGGATTTCTTTACATCCATCTTTATAATACGGAAGATTGATATCTACGCCTTGATCAATGAATTTCTGCACCGATTCACAACACTCATACATACAGGCTATGTGAAAATACGTGAGTCCCTCATTGTCGCTGACATTTTCGCCCCCGGAATGTTCGAAAAACGTGTTAATAATTGAGCCATATCCTTTTCTTGCCGCAATATGGATTGCCGTTTGGCCCAAGTCATTGAGTACTTGCAACTCAATGCCATTTTCCATAAGTATTTCAAGGAGTTCGTAAGGATATGTTTCTGCTTCTAGAGCTGTCTTTATAATCCAGTTGATATCCACGACATTGCCATCAAATTCAACTACAATAAATGCCACTAAATCCTCTTCATTCCAATCACATTGCTCTATAAACAATTCGATGAATCGACTTTGCTTTTCTTCTCTACTCTCTTCTAGAGGGCTACATGCCATTTTGCGTCTTTTACATGCACTCATTGTAAAATAATGATTTAAACGTTGTAACGCTTTCACTGACTATAAAACTTACGATTTGTTATAAAATGTAAATCGACTGTTTAATTTCGCAGTTTTTGCTTCAATTCAACGACCAGCTGCAAGCAAACACTTTTATCATGCACCCACTTTGGAGCAGTGATTCACAACGACTGTCTGTTTCGTGCACGATGCTCGCAAAGTAACGTTTTTTCCCCGCTCTGAGTCATCGAACGCGTCAAAACCCATTTTGACGTAATGCACGAAATCTCAAGCTATTGCGGCTAAGTATCGATTGTTTTTTTTATTCTGTTTGTGCTCACGTCGAGACACACCGGCGGCTTTTCGACGCTTTTGACTGCGCTCAAAATCTCCGACTCTCGACTTGTTCGGTACAATTGTTCGAAAAAAAAATCACATCTGCTAAGCTCTTTTAACTCAGCACCGAGATGTATTCAAAGGCTTAAGAAAGGTTTCTATTTTATAAAATTGAATCTCGCTATTACACCGAGTGTATTCGATGTAAAAAATATTTATTTTCTTTTATAAATCAATATGCAGCTATGTGTAAGAACCGTTGCAAGATATTAAAGATATTAAGAAATACTGCGAACTTTCTCGCAACGTACAACTGAAAATTTTATGATTTTTGAAGACTGAAAATCTACGCGCATTGTTGAAATTCTGGTGATTAAAAGATTAACAGCTCTCGGAGCATGAGAGGTTGGTTCATTTTCCCCGTTTCTAGATACTCTCAGTTTTTTCGTAGCTGTTAAAACAAAAGATACTTTCGGTTATATATTTCTCCGCGCCTATAGTACTTCAGCTAATTGTGCCCCTGAATGAATGACATTTTCATTACAATTTCGGTGTAATTTTCATGACTTGTTAGTGCCTTACTCATCGTAGTACATACTTCTCTACACTCAGTAGCTGTTCATCTATTCCTGCCGTAACTGTTTACAAATAACATCCGTCAAAGTGTATACATGAAAATACGGTACTGTGTTGGCTACTCAAGGCATCTAATTTTAACTGATTTCTCAGTGGATATCGTAAAAATCCACATTAAATTACTTTAACCCAGTGAAAGATGGAGAACAGAAAGGACTCATTTAGGTATACACTTTTTTATGCATGGAAAAAATTGTTTTTTAATCGATTGTTTCTTTAGTATTAAAGAGGAACCGTTTGATGATTGGTCAGGTGTAGGCGACAATCCTGACGATCGAGTGGACTCGTGCACAGTCGAAAACTTTGAAAATCAATTAACGATAAATGAACCATCGGTGAGTTTCATCTCTAATGAATTGTATTCAAATTTCCACTATTAAAAACTACAACACAATTTTAATGTTAGGCCAATGACATGAATGAGTCTATGCCATTACAGGAGGGGCTAGACGGGATAATTTTGGTGGATTTCGATAGCAAAAATGTAAAAACTGAAGTTGAGTTTTCATCTACGTCCATCTGCAAAACTGAGACTCAAAGTTGTCAACCTATTGTGAAATTAGAAAACGAAGCTCCGATCCATAATGACGAGTTATACATCGATTTAGAGTGCAGAGATGTTAAACTTGAAGTAAAACCCTCATTGACAAACATCAGTCCATCTACTGTGAAAACAGAAAATCAAAATCGAACAAATCACTCGAAAGAAAAAAGTTTGATAATTTTAATAAAAAAAGGATTCGATTACGTTAATAACTGTCAATTTATCAGTGGAGAAGCAAATATGAAACCGACTCACAAGGGCATTGGAGCACTTGAATGTAAAATTTGCAACAGGTCATTTGCAAACAAACAAAACTTAAAAAAGCACATAAGTGCAGTACATAATCGAAGCAAACCCTATGCATGTAACACATGTCACAAATCATTTGGACTATCAGGTGTCTTCAAACGTCATGTCAACGCAGTACACAATCGTAGCAAAACCTTTGAGTGTAAAATTTGTCTTAATTCATTTAGTCAAAAACATCATCTCAAATATCACATAAATTCCGTACACAATCATAGCAAACCTTTTGAATGTGACATTTGTCACAAATCATTTGGGCAAAAAATCCATCTCCAACGTCACATAAAAGCAGTACATGACCGAATTAAACCTTTCGAATGTAGCATATGTCAGAAATCATTTGGATATCAGAATGTACTGAAAAGACATAGAGCAACAGCTCATAATCTTGGAAATCCCTTTGAATGTGATATTTGTCACAAATCATTTGGACTATTAGGTGTCCTCAAACGTCATGTCAACGCAGTACACAATCGTAGCAAAACCTTTGAGTGTGATATTTGTCACAAATTATTTAGTCAAAAACATCATCTCAAATATCACATAAATTTCGTACACAATTATAGCAAACCTTTTGAATGTGATATTTGTCACAAATCATTTAGATACAAAAGTCAACTCACTACTCACATGGAGGCAGTTCATAAACGTGAAAAACCTTTCGATTGTGAGATTTGTCATGAATCATTTGGAAACAAGAGTGATCTTAAAAGGCACAAGATGACTGTACATGATAGAAGAAATACCTTTGAATGTGACATTTGTCACAAATCATTTGGATATAAGAGTGTCCTCAATAGACACATAAATGCAGTACATAATCGGATCAAACCTTTTGAATGTGAAATTTGTCACAAATTATTTGGATACAAAAATGTACTCAAAAACCATATAATGACGATACATAATGAAAGCCAACCTCAGGAGTGTGAAGTTTATTCGATGCATTTTGGACGCAACGAAGACTTTTGCAATCAGTCGGCTTACGCTATGTAATTTTAGACAATATTTCTTATAAACAATAAAGCATTTCAAACTGTCATTTATTTGGTCGTGACTGTGAAAATCTTTTACTAAACTTTCAAACGTAAACTTTAAATATTAACAAGGTTTGGTCGTCAATTTTTTGAAATATCGTTTTTGAAACATCCCATTTATATCGACTGAACTGTTTTTCCAAGTAAATGCTTCTTATTGGTTTTCGTTGCTTGCGCGACGATGACCCGATTTCAATTGCAAAAATAGGCANGAAAAAATTTTCTCGAACTTAGGAAAAATTTATGTCTCCTAACCAATGTGTTCTGTTCGACACGAAAAAACAATATGACGAATACAGGAGGAACAGTGAGAAGTAAGCTGTAAGGTGATCGTTTTTTGTCTCTGAATATTCGTGGTTCTGATCGTTCGAATTAACGATCTACATTAATTACTCAAGCAAGGAGTAAGTATAATAATGTGTATATACCCCCTTGATACAGCATATTATGTACACACGAATTCGCGGAACGACACTCAAGGCGCACCGATCGATAATTCATACATCATATTATACGCTATACAAACACATCGAGTAATAGTAACGTATGATATAGGCTTTTTTGTTCCGAGTGGTAACGGATCGCCCTTGCGGCAAAAAAAAAAAAAAAAACCGNGGAAAAAAAAAAAAAAAAACTCGACTTGTACACGAGCTGTGACAGGCGGCTTGTCATTGCCGCGACGTATCGCGAATATTGATTTACAATAAAATACAGTTTTCATTGCCTCATTATGAATACGAGCGTATAGCGCAGCACTCGGTCGCGCGTAATAGGTATAATAACGATTCGCAATGTTTATGCGCGAATTTGAATATCGAGAGAACTTTATCGCTTGTAGTATACATGGGTAGATGCCATACGTGCCATATATATATCAAGCAAAAATTTTCCCGACTCTGATACATATATGTATATGCGAGCTCTCAATTATAAAATGTAACGCAAATACGAACGGAAAACTCAACAAATTGTCAGTAGTATGACTTGATAAAGATGCGATGATGTAATGCACGCGTAACGCAGGTGTGTGAGTGTGTGTCTGTCGATGGTCGATCAACGCGCAAAAACGCGTGGGTTTTATATTTTGCATCGAGGCGTCGAGTCCTCGTTGAGTCGAGAAAGAGAGAACGAGAGAAAAGAAAAAATTGACCGAACGAGCTTTAAACGAGGCATAATGTAAACATCGCATTTTTTCAGTGCTCTACGGGTGTGTGTGTTGTTATCGAATCGGAGAGACTTTTTTGTCGTTGTTGCTTCCTTTCCCGTTCATTTTTCCATGCATTCGGGACGATAATGCCAGATCGCAGCTGACTTGAAAGGCAAAGAACAGTATACACATCGATGAACGCGCGTATATATTATATACGAGAGAAAACCTCCTGGCCTGTACGGAAGACGCATGTATGCACACATACACACGCGCGCGAGATTACTTACACGGACGATTTAAATGTCCATATTACTCGACGCAGCAACATCAATGCAAGCGACAATGACGTTTGAGCTCGGTTACATTTAAAAGGACACGAGGCGGTGTGCACCTGCTTTATATGCGAGTGTGCATCTGTCTGCGTAGATTTTTAGTTTCAGTAGAAACGTCTGTTTGCGTCGTGCGCTGTGCATATTACGTACAATACCTTTTCTGTCGATTCTCTTTAATTGAATTCGAGTGCTAATTAAGGCAGCGCGAGGCTTACTACCGAAATTCAAAACTGACCGAACTATATCTATTAATGATTAAATCAATTATTTTGAATTTTTATTTATCATAGACAAGAAACCTTTTCTTCTTATGAAATAACATTTTTAGTGCATTAATTAATATTTGTGTTATGAGCTAGATCATTCATCGATATTGGACGTTTCAAATGAAAGCTGCCAAAAAATTAAAAAAGAATTCCTGAAAATGAGATTATTCCTATTTTCATGCAAGGTAAACCTCATGCTAGTATCTGAAAACCGTAGGAATATTGATTGAATAAATAGGAATTGAAATATTATTGTTTTAAATAGAGCAACATACATTTTTTTACTTCTTTAAATATTATATTTCCGGAAAAATTTAGACACTTTAACACTGAAAATAGTAAATTTTATTTCGACAATTGTGATACAAGTTTCTGGAAAAACATGAAATTTTACATTAGAACCAGCATCTATATCAATTACAAAGACTGAAAAATCATGCGCAAAGCTAAAATTTCAGAGCCTGAGACGTTCCTTGCTTTTTCCCCGTTTTTAGATACTCTCCGATTTTTCGTGGCTGTTGTTCAGGATTATACTATTTGTGTGAGTATTTCTCCACACCCACCACATGTTAAAGTAAGCTAATTGTGCCCCTGAATGAATGAAATTTTCATTACAATTTCAAGTGCCTCGCTCATCGTCGTACATAACTCTCTACGCTCAGTCGCTATTTATCTATTCCTGCCGTAAGTGTTTACAAATGACATCCGTCAAAGTGTATACATGAAAATACGGTACTGTGTTGGCTATTCAAGGCATCTAACTTTAACTAATTTCTCAGTGAATATCGTAAAAATTCACATTAACTTACTCTAACCCAGTGAGAGATGGAGAACAGAAAGGACTCTGTTAGGTATACACTTTTTTATGCATGCCGAAAATATTTGTTTAATCGATTGTTTCTTTAGTATTAAAGAGGAACCGTTTGATGATTGGTCAGATGTCGGCGAATATTATGCCGATCGAGTAGAGTCGGGCAAAGCCGAAAACTTTGGAGATCAATTAACGATAAATGAACCATCGGTGAGTTTCATCTCTTATGAATTATATTCAAATTTCCACTATTAAAAACTACAACACAATTTTAATGTTAGGCCAATAACACGAATGAGTCTATGCCATTACAGGAGGGGTTAGACGGGATAATTTTGGTGGATTTCGATAGCAAAAATGTAAAAAATGAAGTTGAGTTTTCATCTACATCCATCTGCAAAACTGTGAATCAAATTTGTCAACCTATTGTGAAATTAGAAAACGAAACTCAGACCCATGACATCAATGACGATATTGGCATCGATTTCGAGTGCAGGGATGTTAAGCCTGAAGTAAAAACCTCATTGACAAACATCAGTCCATCTACTGTGAAAACAGAAAGTCAATATCAAACACATCACTTGAATGAGAAAAGGTTGATAATTTTAATAAAAAAAGGATTCGATTACGTTAATAACTGTCAATTTATCAGTGGAGAAGCAAATATGAAACCGACTCACAAGGGCATTGGAGCACTTGAATGTAAAATTTGCAACAGGTCATTTGCAAACAAACAAAACTTAAAAAAGCACATAAGTACAGTACATAAGCGGAGCACACCCTTTGAATGTAAGATTTGTAACAAATCATTTGTACAAAAGAGTAGCCTCAAAAGGCACATAGTTACAGTACATAAGCGGAGCAAAACCTCTGAATGTAAGATTTGTAACAAATTATTTGGACAAAAGAGTAGCCTCAAAAGGCACATAATGGCAGTACATGAGAGGAGCAAACCCTTTGAATGTGATATTTGTCAGAAATTATTTGGACGAAAAAGTGAACTTGAATCTCACATAAGTTTAGTACATCTTCGTAGTAAAGCCTTTGAATGTGATATTTGTCACAAATCATTTGGACTATCAAGTAACCTCAAACGTCATGTCAACGCAGTACACGATCGTAGCAAAACCTTTGAGTGTAAAATTTGTCTTAATTCATTTAGTCAAAAACATCATCTCAAATATCACATAAATTCCGTACACAATCATAGCAAACCTTTTGAATGTGATATTTGTCACAAATCATTTGGGCACAAAAGTCAACTCACTACTCACATGAAGGCGGTACATAAACGCGAAAAACCTTTCGATTGTGAGATTTGTCATAAATCATTTGGATATCAGAATGTACTGAAAAGACATAGAGCAACAGC